CAAACCGTAAAAGTGCAGAATATTTTCTAGGAAAGCTTCACTTAATCCATATGTCTTAAGAAGTAAGATACCGTATATACTCGTGTATATACTTAGCACATTTTAAAAATCATTTTATTGGAGGCTCGTACAACTCATCACATTTGTACATTTGTTGCCATCATCATTTGCAAAACAATGATGGTTTTTGGTATCAGATCATTTTTACCCTCCATCCCCTTCTTCACGAACCCTTGAACTCGACACATTTTTTAAAGCAGTTTTTGTGGTAAAGTTAGGTGCCTTGGCTGATAGTCAGTTAGACTTATACTCAAGTACATAGAGTAATAAAGAATACAGGGTCTCCAATTCCAGGATCAAGAAGAATTGGAGCCAAATTAGATAAAGATATGAAATTACCCAATGAATTAAGTGCCTCTGTCCTGTATTCCTCCTCCTCCTCTGGCTCTTCCCTTACCCCACCCCCACCCTGGACCAGCAGGATGTCTTACATGGATTTGGGGAATATTGAAAATGTTCTATTGATTATTAAGCTCTTTGTACTGTTTAATTATTTATTATTGAAAAGGCGAAAAAAGTCATTAAATACCAGACTGCTTTCCAAAAGAGAAAAAAAAATGTTTATAAGAACAGAAGGCATGTCATCATTAACTCACAATGATAAATGTTTTCCTCAGTGTGAATTTTAATTCAATAAAAACTTACTGTATTACTTCTCCACCTTTTGGCTAAGATCAAGTGTAATAAGCATGTATTGTATACATCCTATGTGGCTAATATTTCCATATATACTCGTGTATAAGCCGAGTTTTCCAGCACATTTTTTTTCCCAGCACATTTTTAATGCCATTTTTGTGGTAAACTTATGTGCCTCAGTTGATATTCAGGTCGACTTATTCTCGAGTATATACGGTATATTAAATTCTGTAAGAACATAGAAAGCATATATTCATCATTCATGCCTTTAATTAATGAAACAAAACATGTAAATGTTAATTATTATAAACAGTCATTCCAGACAGTGTAAGTGCCTAAGTGAATGGTACTGAATTTCCCAGTATTCTAAGAGATATTTAAAAGACTCACTTTTAGAAGTATTATAGTATTAAATTTGAAAACCATTTTTCTTAAAACTGGTTTTTAAAATTACAAACTTCATTATCTTTGAAATATATATTTGTGAAGATTTTATTTGTAAAAATCCTTGATTTCAAACAATTTGTTTTGGGGCAGTGTGGTATTCATTGTAAGGTCTAGATGTTCAGTCAGCTAAGCCATTCCAGCCTCTCGAACATTGCTCTTAAGGCCTGATGCATCCCCTAAATATCCGGTCTTTCACTACATTAGTTCAACTAGAACTTAGTGCCTTAACGAGTTGTCCTCTGGAATTTCTGTGTTCAGTGAGGTAGTAAAAGTGGTAACATTTTGGAGTGTAAAATTGAACCACAGGAGCCATCTTTTCAAACCAATTTCTAAAGAAATGGAAGGTGAGTTTGCTGTAATGACCCATAGTGGCTAGATTTATCCAGGGAAGGTGATGATGAAATTTTCAAACTCAGGTTGAAATGTTTTTGTTTTCACGGGGAAGTACAATTTTTTTTCTATGAAAAATAAAGGTGAATTTTTAAGATCAATATGAGGGTTTTTTGGGGTTTGTTTTTTAATAGGAGGTCTTAATATTATTTTTTACCTTTGGAAAGTCTCAAACTATTCATTACACTCTCCCGTAAAGTAATTTTGTATGGAAAAGTTTTTGAGAAACATGATTTTAATTTTGGGCTAAAACTGAGTTGACTGAGTTAAGTTGCCAGCATTATAAGAGGAATTAAAACATCCATTCTTCTTAATGTCACTCTTGATTCTGTGTATAAATCACTCCGCTCCCATCTCGTGTGTGTGTGTGTGTGTGTGTGTGTGTGTGTGTGTGTGTCCATCTTTTGATATATCTGGGTGAGCCATCGTAGACAATTGATAAGCAAGGGTCAGAGGTTTAAAGACTGAAGATTACATGGCAAAGAAAGAAGAAAAAAAAAAGACTTTGTGGAACACAATGGCTAGGTTCCCAAAAAGGTGCCCACTTGGGGTTTTCATTTCTAGCACATTCTATACATTGAGTGGAGGGAGCTGGTGAAGGAGATTGTGGGTTACTTGCTCAAATAAGCAGCTTTCCCCACCTGACCACTTTTTCTGGCCAGGTGCTGCACCACCTGTAACCCATATCCACATTTCTCCAATTGACAGATCCTAGTATACAGATATCTTGGTTATCTAGTGCTGCCATTTACAATAAACTTTTTTTTTCAGTTACAAGAAACCTGTTGCTGTAAAGTCTGCTCCAACTCCTACCCTGTTTCCCTGAAAATAAGAGTGTCTTATATTAATTTTTGCTCCCAAAGATGCACTAGGTCCTATTTTCAGGGGACGTCTTATTTTTCCATGAAGAAGAATACGGTACACATTTATTGTTGAACAACAAAAAAAGGAAATTTATTACCTGTATACGGTACGGTAGTAGTTGTCATCACAAACCAGCATAACCAGACAAGCTGTGAATCCTACAGTATCAAGAATTTCTTGTTACTACCATTATTTCCATATACTACAATCTATGGCACATTTACTCATTTATTCAATGGCAGTCATGTTATCTTCTGGAACATCATCATAACAATCCAAACCCTTATTTTGGGGGGAATGCCTTATATTTCAACGAGAGGCAAAACTTTAAGTAGGTCTTATTTTCAGGGGATGTTTTACTTTCGGGGAAACAGGGTAGTAACCCAAAAGCAACTTTATAGAACAGAACTGCATCTTAGGGCTGTATTATCTTTGCTGTGGAGTGCTTGTGAGTTAGAACTGCCAACCTTTTGGTGAGTAGCACATGCTTTAACCACAGTGCCAATATGACTCCTTTTTTCTCATAGGAGGCTTAGAAGTCCAAATTCGGGATGCGGCTCTAAAGAAAGGCTCACTCTCTCTGTTGGCACTGGCAGAAGGTCCTTGTCTCTCAAGCTTCTGTTCTTTCATGTGGCTTGACATCCATCTTTCTCCATCTCTGCTTGCTGCTGTGTGCCTAATCAGCTCGCTGTGCGCCTCACAAATGATTAGCTTCACACATTTAACAGAGAAACCACTATTCCCAAATGGGAGTACATCCTCAAGTATGAAATCTAGGATTTACAACCCATTTTGAGGGAAACAATTCAGTCCCTGGCACTGGTCCTCTCCCCTATTATCAGTTGAAGGTGGTGGCCCTCTCTATACCCACTGAGTGCCTCTTTTGAAGCTTTTAAACCAATTCCGAGTTACACAAGGTTCCCTTCAGGTCCAGAGTGAGTCTTGTGGACTACCTCAAAAGCACTGTGCTGTAAAGAGCTCTCAGCTAATCATGTCCTTCCTTCCTTCCTTCCTTCCTTCCCCCACCCCCCAGACATAACCAGTGCGGTGCAATCCAAGCGGAGAAAATCCAAGTAAATGAGATGGACAGCGACTTGATACTTGTAAATGTGTGTGAATTTTACAAAGAGCAATTTTGAGCTGTGACTTTTCTAAATTCATTTCTGTACAGTTAGTAATTTTAATAACGTGGCCCTTTTCCTAGTCCCTGCAATCTGTTTCGTAAAGTGCAATGGTTGAAAGCAGGGTTGTTGAGCCCTTTTGATGTTGCAAGTTTAAAAAGTTCAAGGTTTCAAAAATGTTGCCATGTATTGAGAGGAGCTAATGCCATTATAAATGTTATTAGTTTTCACATTTCCTAAGCAGCTTAGAGTACAGGGTGAGCATTTTTTTAGATCTTCTAATGATGTATTATGCTGTGGAAGTCTTGTGTGTGAATAGCAGTAGTGGGGGCAAAAGCAATCTTATTTGGAAATGTTGTAAATAATTTTATTATATAGTGTTTTTGAATGTATCTGTTGTAGAAATGGACCAGTGAATAAAGAGAATCTAAGGGTTTGTACAATGTGAAATACTGAATGTGTTAAATAAATGTCATTCTCCTAAAATATAAAGATTTGTTATTGGTAAGGGTTACTAAATGAGCAAGCTCTTTCTTTGAACCATAAAATGACTAGGCGTAGCCTTTTTGGTCAATGAGAATTTCAACCTGCCCCACTGCACCAGACATGCCCTCCTTGTTAGATGAGGGAAACGCACATACTCAACTCACTCAAGTTCAGGAAATCTGTCCACAACCTAGATAATGCTTTTGCTCTACCTTAATACATCTGTTTCTCAATGTGCGTGGTGGACTGCTCCCAAACAGCTGCGTTGACATTTTCCTTCAATCAACAGATAAGCTCAGGGTGCCCTATCCTTTGTACCAGTATCAAAAACTGAACCTAGTGTGGGTCACATTTCCCGTCCAGTTCTGTGAGTAGATGGTTGATATGTGAATCAACTGTATACTTAAAGTCTCCTCGTTGCCCTTCTTTGGCTGCCCTATTTCTCATCTCCATCAAACCTCCAGTTGACATCTTATAAGCATGCCCGAGTTTTTCCCTTTCCTGGCTCAATTCTTACCTCACAATGTTTACAGCCCCCAGAGGCAGCTGTTTCTCTCCCTAGACTGCCCAACTTTCAGGACTCTGCTGCTTGGAGCCCTTTCCTTCTTTTGGCCTTGGCTTCAGTCTACTGCTGTAACTCCTCAAGGCTATACTTGCACTCCATCCTGTCCCCTCCGGTACCTCCTTGTCCTTGCCATAACCACATGACTGAGACCAAGATTAAGGCGGTGACTCCATCACGCTCCTATTTTCATGTGTATTTCAACAATCTTAATGTCTATATTTTGCATTATTACTAGGATCCTCTAAAAGTAGTTATGAGTCAGACCCCACAGTGTCTGGCTGTGCTCCCAGCAGACTCATCTACCCTCTTGCTTTCTCATGATAAACGACCAGAATCAAAGCCAACATTAATAATAAGACCCTATGCCAATACTGTGCTTGAGATTAAAGTGTTCATCATACTTTAGCTCAACTCAGGCAGAAAGCATAATGTGCTTTAAATAGATTTTTATTTGTTTTTCTTTATATTAAATTTTTCTCCCATAGAGGAATCGCATTACAATCTAACAATCAGAATCCTGTTACACACATACACAGGCATGCCACATGTCCGAGTCGAGGTGGTCGTACCCTTGAGTCTGTTGACATATTACACATAATAATCAACCAAAGTCTCCTCATTTCATCCAGCCTCAACACAGAACACCCAACCCAGGATGCACTCAACTTGGTTCCATTTGGGAGAATGGAACTAAGTGGCAGAGCAAGAGGGAAAGTATTAGAAGTGAACAATGATATGTCTGCATTAATTCCCCTCATGTAAAGCCATGTGGATCTGTGAGGGTCCTGTTGCACCTAAAACATGGGTAAGAGCAAGTTGAAGAAAAGGCTCCAAGTTGGGGGCTGGGGAACAAGCATACTCCAAAACAGCACCAAACTACACTCATACACACCTGGTGCCTTACTGTGGTCAGTCGGGGGAAGGCTGGAAAGAAACCACCAAATTTAGGGAGCACTCAGACTTATTGGGGGAATAACTGGAAAATGCCCTTTGTAATTGGGACTCCCACTGTAGATGGGTGGGGGGTCCCCACTGGCATGCTCCTTTTTTGGCAAAGTGCTGGTAGTATTAACATGAGCTAATAATACAAACTGGAACAAACTTTTCAAGGGTCTCTGAAAACAGCCGTCAAGACAGACTCTCTAACCCCTCCGGTTAAGGTTGCATAGGACTTTTGAATTCTGGTTCCCTCAGGTATTCAAGTTCTGTGGTTTAAAAAAAAAAAATCCTGAAGCATGCTCAAGGTGAAAGGCACATACACAGTCAATACAGTATGACGAGGTCCGATGCTTCAGGAGTCAGACTAGCAGGAGACTGAGTAGTGTTGGTTCTTAGAAATCTATATACATTAAAATATTGCCACACTCAAATGCTACAGAATCTATAGGACAGTACAAAAAATATGCGCCTTGCAACCAGCCAGGTGATAGAGGGTTCTAGAACTACAGGGGCTTCCCAAAACAAGTGAGGACAGGGCCTTTGAAGTTTGAGCCCAATGCCCTATAACTCAAACTCCTCACCAAAAGAATTACAGACATAGTCAGTGGACTAAGCCTACTCCACACCTGGTAGTGAGGGAGTAGGTAGGAAGTGTTCGAGGGGTTCAGCTCTCAGAAGTGCTGCAAACCCTACAATGTGAGGTGACTGGAAGAAAAAAAGCAACTGAATCTTGGGAGCCAAGTAGCAGGTCGCCAACCACTGGGGCCTAGTGGACTAGAGGTGAGGGCTTTGATCTGTAAATTTGGCCAACTCTCTAGGATAGGAGACCAAATAGTGCTTCCTCTGCCCTTATCCCAGCATCCATGGGGCTACCCCTGCCCTAACCATTCCCAAGCCTTTACATGAGGTCTGGGTTGCAGGATTAGGGAGGGAAGCTGCCTTTGCCCTCATGAGAATGCAGAATTTTCTCCAAGCCTCAGCTTAGCTATGGGGTCTGGATACCTGGAATCAGGGTAAGGGGGAAGACCTATGTTAGTATGTAACAGGAAATCATAAATGTTTCAAGGAAGAGAGAGAGAGCACACACTAGAAAAGGACAGCTAGAAAGAGGAAAAGGGGAGCAACTCTGGGCATCCCAAGAGGCAGTTGCTGGTGTCTGAGCCCAATAGTCAGTCCCACCACGAGACAGTGAAAGCTGGCTGCCCTGTCCCCTCTTTCAACCAGGGATTCAGGTTTCCTCCTCCATGTACTTTTACTGGAGGAGAAGGGCGGGAGACCAAAGGGCACCCATTTCTCCCCAGCAGCCTAGAAAGAAGAAAGCTCTGGGGAGAAAATGAGGAAAGGCCCCCTGAAGGCCCTGAATCTGGTTAGGGGATTATCTAGGGTTGGGACAGTGGAACTCCTGGCCTCCCGTCAGGAGTGTGTGTGAGTCCTACCAGGCAGGGCATGAGATTCAAGGCCAGAGACAAGATGACGGCTGAGCTTTCTGTCTTGGGACAGCTTGATCCCAGAGCTTCTCCACCCTACATCACTGCTCTGCAGTTTTACCCTGGGGTGTGCCCTTTTCCGGCCTAGAAGCTCTCTGGCCTGCATCCCCCCCTAAGCTAGTTCTAGCACCTTAGGCATGTGAACAGATGGCCAGGATGGCAGGGCCATGCCCAGTCTCTACTCCTGGAGTAACGGGGACTAGGGTGGCAAGGTACTAACTAAGCCCTACAGACACGGGACCCTTCAAACAGATGAACTGTCTGGATTTTAGGAAGAGACTTGGGAGGTGGAATTACAGGAACGGGAATTGGGGGCAGACTCCAGGCTCTAACCTGAGAGCAGGACTTGGCCTCTCCGAGCAAACACAGTGCCAGCTCCCATAGTGCCCTGTTCCCTATAGCTTCTCAACCTGTCTGTGCTTCGGTCAATTCTTCCAACAGGCTACCTCCTTCCCTCGATTCCCTCCACCTTCTCCCTCTGACTCACATCTCACAGTCCTTGTCCACATACTTTACTTTTCTAGACCTAAGCAGCTCCAAGGAGCACAGCCCCCAGGGAAGAGGGAAATAAGGAAATAAAGAGGGAGCGTCCTGAGCCTAAGCCCATCCTGGGGGGCCAGGGCAGCAGCCCAAGCCCCACAGGTTGTCAGAGCTGGGCTCAAGGTCCCACTGCACCCCTTGTAGGAGGTGCTACACCGCTAGGGAATTCATAACAGAACAAGAAAGTAGTGTCAAACATGGGGAGGGGAGGGAGGGTGGTGTGAAGTTAGGAGCTGAAGGTGGGGGACGAGCCAAATCAGGGACTGGAAGAAGAGGCTCTCAGAAATCGGGAAGGTTCAGGGGGAGAGAGTAAGAGTGAGGGGGGAATGTTCGGAGAGGTGAGGGTGTCAGGGGTAAGGCAGATGGATTAGGATGGAGGATGACAGGGACGAGAGAATTCAGAGGTGGATGAGTGGGTCGGGATGGAAAATGGAGAGAGGGGGTGGGCGAGGCTGTCACCCCACCTCACAGAAGGGGAGAAGGTGTGATACCCAGCCTGTGGCAGGCCATGGCCGCCCCTCGAGCGGTGCCCTGGCTGCTGCGGAGGGGCTGGGGGTCAAGGAGGGGTTCGTGGTGCGGCCAGCAGACGCTCAGTAGTTGAACTGGCGCTGGCACGGCTGGTAGACGAAGCTGCCCTGGTGCTTGGGCCGGCGCGGGCGGCTCTCCCGAGCACGGTTCTGCCGCTGCACTACCTTGGCGCTCAGCGCGTGGCGCTCGGCCCGCTGTCGGGCCCGCTGCAGCCTCCGCACCTGGCCCACCTTCTCCAGCAGCGCGGCCCGAGGGGGCAACGGGGCTGCTGCGTGGTGGCGGGTCCGCGGCTCCCGGCGGGCGGGTGCCAGCTCCCTGCAGGAGAGGGTGGGACTCGGTCAGGCTCGACCAGCGGGAGGCCCCAGGCAGAACCCACTCCATCCCAGCCCGCCTCCTGGGGTGCCACCTATGGGAGTACAGACCCCGTCCCGAGTCAACAGGGAGAGGCTGCCGGGAGGATTCTAGCCCCGCGACAGGTGGGCTGGAACCGGCGGGAGTCTGGGTCCCAATCCCTAATTCCACCCCTGCCTCTGAACAAGCCCCGTGAAGTAGCCTCAGCCCCAACCCACGTCTATTTGCCAACCTCTCGTGGGCACCAGGTTTCAGTAGCCACTACTGAGGTCCAAGATTTAAAAAAAAATTTTTTTTTTAACCCAAACTCAATAGCATCGAGTAGATGTGGACTCATAGCAACCCCATAGGGCAGGGTAGAACTGCCCGTGTGACTTTCCAAGACTACCTCTACGGGAGTAAGAAGCCGCATCTTTCTACCATGGAGCGGCTGGCGGTTCATAACTCGGGACTTGGCAGCCTACAGGGTAACCACTACCCCTGCAGGGCTCGAAGCCGGTCTCAAGAGATCTCCAAGCCCCACCCTCTTGCCTCGAAGACACGCCTTCTCAAAGCCCCGCCCTCTGCCTCGAAGGCACGCCTTCTCAGGGCCCCGCCCCCTTCGTTCCCGGAGTGCGCCAGCCTCTCTAGGCTCCGCCCCCGGCCACTCACCGGTTGCTGAGGTGGCCATCAGGCTGGATGACGTCGGGGTGCGGGGCAGGGGGCGCGGGCTCCAGCACTATGGTGCTGCCGGTGACGTAAACAGACATGCTGGGGTGCTCGATGAGGAGGTCCTCCAGGGGGTTGCTCTGGAGGCGGGCGGGCCCGAGGCCGGGCCCCTCTGCAGTAAAACAGGCGGGAGGGGTAACAAACCAGCTCTCTTCCATCAAGGAGGGCGCGGGCGGGGGGCGGCCCACAGGAGCGGGGGCGGCCCCCGGGCTGGGTGGGGTCGCGTAGCTGTCTACGGGGCGCGGGAGGGAGAGCCATGCGGATGAGGGGCGCAGCGGGGAGGGACACACGCACACACGCACACGGGACAGAAGAGGGACGGGGAGAGAAAGGGCATTGTTAGTCAGACCCGCAACCCCACCCGCCGTACCCACGGGCACCCCCGGGCCAGAGGTCACGACCTGCTGCCCTTGGGCACTTAACGTAGAGGCCCCAACACGGCTCTGCGGTGATAGCCTGGCCTTTCTTTGGCTAAGGGGCCGTTACCGGGTGCCCACGGCCCGCCCCGCCCCTCCCCTCTCCCCCCCAACCCCCCCGCAGTGTCACTGCCTCACCCAGTTTGCCCTGTCAGCTTTGGGGAACGCCCGTGTCCCTCCCCTGCTGGTCCTCCTGTGCTCGCGGGGACGCTCGGGCCCAGGAGTCCGGGCCCCCAACTCAGGCCTCACCCGGCAGGTCAATGATGAGCCAGCCGTCCACTTCATCTTCCTCAGAGACGAAGGCACGGGGACAGTTGGGGTCCTCCGGGGGTGGGGGAGCGCTAAAGAAGAGGCTGGTGAGGCGCTGGAACATGGTCGTGGGGAAGGTAAGCAGCCTCCGGGGGCGTCCTATGGCAGTGCGGAAACCTGGGAGGGGAGAAAGGGGTCAGCACCACCAGAGACGGACCCCACCCCTAACCCAGTGCAGCGTTGGAGGTCAGGAGGGCAACAATAACAACTGTGCACTCCTCTGAGCTTGTATAACAATTAAATGGGCTAAACACTTGTACAGTACAGAGAGCGGTCCCTGATCACATAGTCAACACTCAAGTAGTTATTATGATTGGTACTTTTTACAGGAAGCTCTAGGAACATCGGAAGAGTGACATATCCAACCAGGTTCTGTCAGGAAAGGTCCCCAGATTGGACATCCAAGCTGGACCTTGAAGAGTTTACAAAAGTTTGGCAGGGAAGGAATTACCCAATCTTGTGACGATTATAATAACATTGTTAATATTCATGTGCCAGGCATTATACTAAACAACTTTACCAATGAGAGGGCTTCAAAAACGTTCCTGAGAAAATTCCACTTTCCATGAGCTTTGTGAAGCCTCTTCATATATTACTTTTTGTAATCTTCCCAGCAAGGCCTAGTGGCACAGTGGGTTAAGCATTCACCTGCTAAGAGGCTGCAGCTGTTCCACACAGGTGAAAGATGTGGCAGTCTGCCTTCTAAAGATTGTAAGTACGCATGGAGACCCTGTAAGAGGGCGTTTCTGCTGTCCTAGAGGGTCACTGTGAATCAGAATCAACTTAAAGCAATGGATTTTCAGTCTTCACAGCAATTCGAGGTCATGAGTATAATTATTTTCCTCCTTTTACAGGCGAGGAAACAAGTTCAGAAAGGTAAGGAAACTTGCCCCGCATCCTGCATCTGGTAAGAAACAAGTATGATTTGAACCCATGCAGATTCCAGAAGCAGCACCCATAATCATTTGTACTCCATAGTTTATGTCAAGTGTCTGTCTAGATTAGGCATTTTTAACCGGTGGCCAATGATCATGGCCTGAAATTGTCTGCAGAACAGTGTGAGTGTGTGTGTATGAGAGAGAGAGAGAGAGAGTGTGTGTGTGTGTGTGTGTGTGTGTGTGTTTGCATGCTAGAAAAGGAGCTTGGTTTTTATGTTTCCTAATTGTCTGAACAGTGTAAGTGTGTGTGTGTGTGTGTGTGTGTTTGCATGCTAGAAAAGGAGCTCGGTTTTTATCAGTTTCCT